GCTGCAGTGGAGACAGAATGAATATTGTGTCTGACTCCATCATGAGCTTGGAGGACTGCATCCATACATCTCTGACATGACTCAAATCACTGATTAAAAAAGTCATCTGGAATGGCAAAGAAAGCGTTCCTGCAGGACTCCCAGAGTTCATCAAGACTCTTTGTGTTAATCTTCAATGCCTCCTCCATCTGACCCCAGACATGCTCAACAATGTTCACATCTGGTGACTGGGCTGGCCAATTCTGGAGCAGCTTGACCTTCTTTGCTTTCAGGAGCTTTGATGTGGAGGCTGAAGCATGAGGAGCGCTATCCTGCGGGAGAATTGTCCCTCTCCTGTGGTTTGTAATGTAATGGGCAGCACAGATGTCTTGATACCTCAGGTTGTTGATGTTGCAGATCTCTCACACGCCCCCATACTGATTATAACCCCAACTCATGATGTTTCCTTCACCAAACCTGACTGATTTCTGTGAGAATCTTGGCTCCATAAGGGTCACAGTAGGTCTTCTGCCGTGTGTGTGATGATTGGGATGCAGATCAACAGATTCATCAGAGAACTCCACCTTCTGACACTTCTAAATGATCAAGTAGTCAAGTCAAGTTATTATTTGCTGCTCTTACGACTGGGATCCACAACAAGACTTGTGTCAGGTAGTGTTTATACAGTAATAGTGTTTTAAACCATACTGTAGTAAAGTGTAATATACTGTATATATTATAGTAGGTTTGACTCTGTTAATGTATGCTTCAGTGTATTTTAGGTTTAAACCATGGTGTTTTGTACTATAATATACCCTATATTTGTGGAAAACTACGGTAGAGTGTGTATAGGGTGTTTATAGGTCACACGTTACAATAAGGATTCATTAGTAAATGTATTTACTAACATGAACAATACTTGTAGAGCATTCAATAATCATAGTTCAACATGCATTAATCCAGTGGTTCTCAAACTGTGGTACACAGAGGAATCACTGAATAACTAAAGTAAAAAAATGAACACACTTTTAACCCTTTGACGAGCACGATAACAACAATGTGATCAGTAAATTGATTTTAATAGACTAAACCTTTTATTTTATTTTCAAATGTTCTAATATTTGTAATGTATTCTATCATTTGAAGCAGATTTCCTTCACATTTTTGGGCATATCCCGTATTGTTATATCCCGATGGTGACAGGTATAATCCCTTGCTTTTCTGACACACACAGCCTACTCTAACCTGCAGTAAGCAGCTCTACTTTCTAATTTAAATATGTAAATCCAATTCATATATTTAAAATACAAGGTCATTTTTAGATTTTAAAGATACTTGTATAAATAAGTCGTATGCATGCATCATGTATATTGAAATTTATTAAAAATAGTTATATATATACATATATGATGACATATAGCCTATATTTATTAGGTCCAAGAAGCATTTGTAGGTTTTAAAGAATAGGCTACTTTATGATAATACTTTAGATTTAACTACAGCAGTTTTCTTCTTACTTTTTAAGAACAGTGCCATCTTTAATTAACTTTTAAAAGCACATTTTAATTTAAACGTTGATGTTTAATTTATTTTCACCTGTAAGCACAGCACAGTGTTAATGTTCAAACTATTTTTAATGTTTAAAGTGGCTGACAATAATAACTAGTTATAATAAGAAGAAATAATCTGTAATTACACCTCTACGCTTTCAATACCAGTAATTATGGTGGTACTTTCGAGAGACAATGTTTTTCTGAGGTGGTACTTGGTGAAAAAAGTGTGAGAACCACTGCATTAAGCCAACATCTACTGTATTTTCATTAACTAACATGAACAAATAGTGTAATTATTGCATTGTTCATTGTTTATGTTGGTAAATGCATTAACTAATGCAACCTTAATGAAAAGTGTGGTTGCAACTAAATAATCAACACAACCGATTAATTCAAGTACTTTACTATAGTATGGTTCAAATGCACTATACATTTACTATAAATCATTCAGTCATTTTCTTGTCGGCTTAGTCCCTTTATTAATCTGGGGTCACCACAGCGGAATGAACCGCCAACTTATCAAGCACGTTTTTATGCAGCGGATGCCCTTGCAGCCACAATCTCTGGGAAACATCCACACACACTCACTCAAACACACGCACACACACTATGGACAATTAAGCCTACCCAATTCACCTGTACCGCATGTGTTTGGACTGTGGGGGAAACCGGAGCACCCGGAGGAAACCAACGCGAATGCAGGGAGAACATGCAAACTCCACACAGAAACGCCAACTGACCCAGCCGAGGCTTGAGCCAGCGACCTTCTTATTGTGACAGCACTACCTACTGCGCCACCTTTACTGTAAATCACTGTGGTATTATTTTTTATGTTAGTAGAGTGACAACCAGTGAGGATCTATAATTAGATGTGGCACCAACTAAGTGAAGACAGCTAAGCAGCAAAGGTCACATGTTAACAAGGTGCAAGTGTTCAACAAGTCAGATGGTTTTGGATGTGTCTACAATCAACCCCTCAGAGGCTCCTGAATCTCCAGGCAGGAATCTCATAATTAGTCAGATGATCTGCAGGATTTACAGCACGAGCGAACACAAGCGGCCAGCTGTCTGACAACTGTAATGCTCATCTGCAAAGCAAAGCATGTCTCTGGTGTCTCTTGCAAGACTATATTTGACTATGTTTAATGTTATACTGAAATAAAATGATTACTGCTGCTTGTTCAAACTACCTGTTTAAAATGAGCTGAAACAACACAATTCTTGCCAGGTTTATTTGTTTTATGTTTAGTCCACTTAAATTTGTAACACTTCAGCGTTTTGTGTTGAAACAACATGAAGGAATTGTGTTGGTCCAATTATCTGGTTAGGGGATTTGTAGTTCCCAGCATTCTTTGCGTAAGATTGAATTAAGAAAGGGAAATGTTGACAATACAAGTAATCTAGAAAGACTTTTTTTTTTTTTTTCATCAAATTTTTCTTTTAGGCGAAGCAGTGGCGCAGTAGGTAGTGCTGTCGCCTCGCAGCAAGAAAGTCGCTGGGTCGCTGGTTCGAACCTCGGCTCAGTTGGTGTTTCTGTGTGGAGTTTGCATGTTCTCCCTGCATTTGTGTGGGTTTCCGCCAGGTGCTCCGGTTTCCCCCACAGTCCAAACACATGTGGTACAGGTGAATTGGGTTGGCTAAATTGTCCGTAGTGTATGAGTGTGTGTGTGAATGTGTGTGTGGATGATTCCCAGAGATGGGTTGCAGCTGGAAAGGCATCTGCTGCATAAAAACCTGCTGGATAAGTTGGCGGTTCATTCCACTGTGGCGACCCCGGATTAATAAAGGGACTAAGCCGACAAGAAAATGAATAAATAAATGAATTTTTCTTTTATTTTGTATTTTTTGAACACAGAAAAACATGCCGTGGACAATCAGCATAAAACAAAATGTGTAGATATACATATATTAATCATTATAAAAGTTGTTAAATAATAGTATTAATAATAGCGCCATGACAACAATATTGTCAGTAAGAAGGAAAAACTGAAGAATAATGACAAGGAAATATTAGCGCAATTAAAAATGACAAATAAAATTAATTAATACATTACATACACATATATACACATACATACATACACACACACACACACACACACACATATATATATATATATATATATATATATATATATATATACATACATACATACACATATATATATATACATACATACATACATACACACACACATATATACATACACATACAAACATACACACAGAGATACACACAAACACACACACACACATATATATATATATATATATATATACATACATACACACACACACACACACACATATATATCAATAAACAAACACATACATACACACACACACACACACATATATCCATATACATATGCACACATACATACACGTTAATAAAACCAATTTCCAAACCAAAAAATGGCAATAAACCAAATCTGTACTTAGGGTTAAGTAAGGTTAAAATTAAGCCAATCGAAAATAAACAATTAACTAGAGGAATGGTGATATACACATAGAGATAGGTATTTAAAACTGTCCTGAAAAACCTCTACGACAATGAAAGTTATTAGAAGCCCAAACAGGAAACCTTAAATTACTATAAAAAGGTGAAAATAAAAATAAATAAAGATAATTAAATAATATAATAATAAAACAAATTGATAATAAATAATAAATGAAGGGAAGGGGGGGGGGGGGGGGGTTCTGGAACCAGAAGTTCATGCTTTTTGATGTCTCTTTGATTCAAGTTAGTAATCTAGAAAGACTTGTTAGAGTTTAATCTTCACTTTAGTTTGAAGATTTCGAATATTTTCAAATAATGCGTTGAGTTTTGAGATTACCACCTTGTAGAAGCAGCCGTGCTTTGGGTGTTGGCAGCTTTATTGAGTTATGGGTAACTGCAGTCTGGAGCAATGAGCGTGGCAAAAGGTAGGGCCGGGGTAAAGCGTTTTTCATTGGTCAATTTCTTTTTTTTTTCCGTTAGGGGCGTGGCGAACGGTTTTTCATTGGTCAAGGGTTTTATTTACGGTCAAATGCGTTGGCCAATTAGACAACGTATTAAATAAGCTGATCATTTAGCTTAAAGGTGGATCATTCTACTTCCTGCAACTGTTGTTTAGAATAAAGAATGAATTAAACGTAATCACAAGTTTCATTAAAGTAATGGGTAAATCTGCCTTCTAATGGATACAAATGCTTCAAATTCTATGTATCTGTTCTTTTCACTGGCTATTTATAAATGCACTACTAGAATATCTCACAGGCATCGGCGACTCATCTGCGATTCTCTCAGATCACGTCTTTGGTAGGTCATACTGTGTGATTGACTCTCGCGTGCACGAGCACCAATTTGCCTGTGAATTCAGGCATTTGTCTGCGATTTCTCAAAACCTGTCAGGGCGAAATTCCTCCAGTCTGAACTCGGCATAAGTGAATCTCAAACACAGACTGACCTTGTTGTGATCTTTGCAGAATGGGGAGCTGCAGTGTGGAGTGTTTTTGTGGCGGATCACGGCCTCATCTGAACCGAACTCAACAACCCGCAACCTACATCCAAAACAACAATGAACCAAAAGTACAACAGACCATTCAACAACAGCACTGCGTGAGTATTCCACAAAGCACATTCACTTCCCAGGGTTTCAAAGAGTTTATTTGTGATTAGACTTGGTTAAGGATTTATTCATAATTACAGCATTGTTTAGTAACTGTTGCACAATCACCAGACTTACTACTATTATCTGTTATTATTCAAGTAGTAAAAATAATAATTCAAATTACTATCGGTTCAGAGTTATTAAGTGCATTTTAAACAATCTAACACAAAGAAAGGAGAAAGCTAGATCACTCGCATTTCCACTGTTCGGCATTTCATAATCTGACTAAAAATGCAATGTGCAAATACAAAAGGGAAAGCATAGAGCCAGACATGAGATCCAAATCAATTCAAAACATGTTAACTAGAGCTGGGTGAAAAAAACAACAACAAATAACATTGATTTTTATCGAAATTCAATTTAAAGAAATAATACTGATGCTGCAAATCCCTTAATCCACTTGAAAACTTGAGACTTTTCAGTATTACGATGTATTTCCAACTCAAATGGAATATTGAGTAGGGGGCGGAGCTTTATTTTTGTGCTCCACCTCTCGTCTTTCAATCACAGCAAACTATTGTTTGGAGGGGTGTGGCTAAGCATGTCTTAAGCATATTTAGTCCAATCAGATGGCAGATTTAGATTAAGGATTAACAAAACAAACTTTTTATTTTCAGTGTGTTAACTTGCATAGATTAATTGTTCACTTTAAGAATAACGACGTTTTGCACTCGCAAAATAAACTCAAATTTAACTAAATTAAATTATTAAAATAAACAAAATTTAGACTATATCCAGACTTTAATGTTTGTAATTTAGAGGGTGGGGGCAGCACGGTGGCGCAGTGGGTAGCACTGTCGCCTCACAGCAAAAAGGTCACTGGTTCGAGCCCCGGCTGCGTCAGTTGGCATTTCTGTGTGGAGTTTGCATGTTCTCCCTGTGTTGGCGTAGGTTTCCTCCGGGTGCTCCAGTTTCCCCCCACAAGTCCAAACACATGCGCTATAGGGGAATTGGGTAAGCTAAATTGTCTGTAGTGTATGCAGACATCCCAAGTGTCCCGGAAGTACCGGGAGTCTCCTGCAGAAATCATCTCTGTCTCCCCCCGGTAATGACTTTTCCCAAGTTGGGATGTCTGTGTATGTGTGTGAATGGATTTTTACTGGCAATGGGTTGCAGCTGGAAGGGCATTCGCTGCGTAAAACATGTGTTGAATAAGTTGGCGGTTCATTCCGCTGTGGCGACCCCAGATTAATAAAGGGACCAAGCCGAAAAGAAAATGAATGAACGAGTTTAGAGAGTGAATATCTGCACTTCACCAATCATCCTGAAGATGTCGCCATTTATCAGTCGCCTTCCTGATGATTAAACAAACAAAAACATCTCGGTAGCCAATTGAAGTCAGCAAGATTAAAGTCTGGTGTGTAGAAGTAAGCAATGGGGGTAAAGATAAATCTTCTTAAACAACGTTTGCAAATAATGTCTCCAAGTGCTAATACCATGTATCCACACGTATTTGTTTTTATCTAAAGTAAATAATTGCGTGGCTATTGTTAATGTACCGTAAATGTGCTCTTCACTAATATAGATGAATAGGAGGGATTTAATTACTAACAATTATATTCAATTGTGGAATATTTGTCCGGAAAACTAACTTTTTTTAATTAAATATTAAATACTAATCAATATTGGATCAAATCAAACCCATATAAATAATAAATTAAACGTAATACCCAGCCCTAGTGACAACATTCAGATGACCTACCCACAGCTTCGACCTTTAAGCTAAGGAACAGAAGTAAAGTCATTAAAGGAATATTTCAGGGTAAATACAGCTCGAGTTATAAAAGACTGCAGATCTGTTACGCCTCGTCCTTCAGCTTGCACAGAATGAGAAACAACGGAAGTCTGTGGAGCAGTTCAACCAAGGCTTTAAAAGCAGATTATTACAGCACATTATGATCTCCGGTCAATATAAATCAGTCTGTGATAATCAACAACAGGTGCTGCACTTACAGATCAATTATTAAAAATTTTAATGTTGTTTCAAATATTCCCCAAGTGATGTTTAACAGAGTAAGGTCTGCTTTTTTCCACAGTGTGTCTTTTTTTCTGGATTAAGTCTTGTAATGTACTGTAATATGTGTTTATATAGCAAATTTACTGTGTATGGCCATACACCCAAAGCACTTCACAATCATGAGGGGGGGGGGGGGGGTGTCTCTCCACACCACCACTAGTGTGCAGCTCCACTTAGATGATGCGACGGCAGCCACAGGACAACAGCGCCAGTGCGCTCACCACACACCAGCTATAGGTGAAGTGGAGAGACAGTGATATTCGTTATTTCCAATGGAGGTCATGTGAGCGGCATGACATGCTCTTCCAGATGCACCCAGCTAAATGAATCCTGCAAGCGCACTGCAAATCACTAACAAAAACTGACTGATCAGCTTCAGCTTATTGAATATACACATTTCGGAAGACTAATTATCTCAGACAAACACAGAACACACAAACACTGCAGTTCTTTGTAATTTTCTCCATAAATAAATCTTGTATCGGAGCTGCAGCAATGTTTTGTCAGCTTGTCATCCTCTGAGAAAATGGTTTATGGTCGTCTAGCAACCTACGAACCATCGACCACCCCCGGTCAGCTGTAAAATTTTCACGCGTTGACCGGTCCGCGGTGATAAAAGGCTGAGGACCACTGGTCTACAGAACAAAGCACAGTTGTTCAATAACTTCGCTAATAAACCTAACTGGCCTAGTTATGCCTTTAAATGTCACTTTAAGCTGAATACTAAGATCTTGTAAAATATTATGTGTGTTGTCACCATGGCAAAGATAAAAGAGTTATTAAAGCTACCGTTTAAAATGTGTTGAATACGATCTGTTAAACAGCACTTGGGAAATAATTTAAAGAGAATTGAATCCAGCAGGATGAAATGTTTTCTTCAAGTGTACATCTCAAGTTATATTCCTTTAATATTCCTTCAATCCCGAGTGACATGTAACATACAATAATAATAACCATGACTCAGTCCACTCAAAGTGCATATAAGTGATCCTCAGTGTGATAATCATTCCTTCAAATATCCTCAGGATGGTGCATCATTTCTAGCAGCAACGTGTTAAAGAGCTAACACAGTGATGTCCAAACTCAGCCCTGGAGGTCCGGTGTCCTGCATATTTTAGTTCCATCCCCAATTAAACACACCTGAACCACCTAATCAAGCTCTTTCTAGGTATACTAGACTTCCAGGCAGGGGTGTTGGAGGAAGTTGGAGCTAAACTATGCAGGACACCGGACCTCCAGGACTGAGTTTGGACACCCCTGAACTAAGAGAACCGATTCCATCATTCTTAAATCTGGAGTGAGAACATAAACCCGCTTTCAAAAAGATCAACTACTTCAAAAACAATCAGCCCTTGTCTCTGCGGATGGTTTGAAGGGTTAGTTCACACAAAAATGAAAATGAGCTCATTATTTACCCCTATGGCATCCTAGGTGTACGACTCCAATCTGAGTTATTTTAAATGTTACAAATAATGAAAATCAGCATATACTTAGACATAGTTGGACTATAAGCATTCAGTACATGGAAATGACATACAGTGAGACTCGAACACTGCTTCCTCCTTCACCAGGAACATCAGGCCAATTGGAACAAATCATTAACTCTGACGATCCACTGGGATCATTAATATGCAACCCCCAGGCAGCGTTTAATTAACCACAAACTTTCCTAGTGAGATTACAACAGTTATAAATATGAGGGGACTCTTATTTTGAAAACAGGAAAGGCAGGGTCACAAAAAAGCAGCCGTTTTGTGACGCAAGCAGCCATGCATCTCATCTGTTTGTTTAATCTGATGGACTATACATTTTTTTCAGCACCTTCCGAAAAGGCATAAGGTGTGTTTACAGTATGTTTTGTTAGTTTACCGTGTATATTGCAAAGTTTGCTGTATTTATTTGCATTGAGGCAACTGTTTAGCTGATTGCACTAATGCACCAATAAAAATCACCTCAAAAGAAAGACGATGACAGACAGCGCTTGCCGGAAGTTACATAAAATAATTTGGAGGTTTCTTACAAAAAAAACATGGTTTCAAAACGATAAATCAGTTTTATCGATTAATTCGAGTGTGAAGTTCACATCAATTTGTTTGAATGAAACTCGCTATTACTCTAACACGTGTTATGTCATTATTCAACTGGTGTTTGTTGACTAACAATAACCAAATGTCGAGCGAGACGCATGCTTCCTGTTTATACTAGAATGCGCATGCACAGAGTGCGCTAATGGTCACGTGATATACGGTTTTGGTGGCGTAGTGTGGACGGAGATATGTTCAGAAACGCTAGGTGAAACGCGGATGGTTTTTGATCTAAAACGCCATTTTGAAACGAAAACGCATTAGTGTAAACGCGGCCTAAACTGTCCATATGTGTGTGAATGAGGGTGTATGGGTGTTTCTGTCTGGAAGGGCATCTGCTGTGTGAAACATATGATGGAAAAGTTGGTGGGTCATTCCACTGTGGCCACCCAATATAAATAAAGGTAATAAGCCGAAAAGAAAATGAATGAATGAAAATGGATTTAAATCGAAAAATTAGGGATTTATTTTTCGCAGAGATGGGTTGCGGCTGGAAGGGCATCCGTTGCGTAAAAACTTGCTGGATAAGTTGGCGGTTCATTCCGCTGTGGCGCCCCCAGATTAATAAAGGGACTAAGCCGACAAGAAAATGAATGAATGAAAATGGATTTAAATAAAAAAATTAGGGATTTATTTTCTTTTTAACGGGCTATATCACCCAGCCCTAGTTTCACTAAAGGAAATCTTATTTCACACACCCGAGCCACGTGAGGCATTTATTAATATAGATGGATGTGTGTTATTAGACTTTAATATAAAAATTATAATCCAAATATGATTTTTAAAATAGCTTCAATTAGATTTGACTGAAAGCAGAATGTAATGTACACCTGGGATGCCGTGATGTTGAGAATTAATTTCTAATTTTCATGTTTGCGTGAACTAACCCTTTAATAGGACTGTCAGTCAGTGGATGCTACACGGGTCAGGCTTCAGTGTTGAATTGGAGCGTTTGCCCTTGACTCGCAGCACTGCACGCTGACATGTTGGAGCGTCTGCATACTCTGGACGCGTTTCCGCTGGTTTCTGGTACAGTTTTTGTACCGTTCACACTCCTCACACACTTCAGGATAGAGTCCATGTGCGACAACTCCACCGACACGTGTTAGGAATGACTACTAATACAAGGCTAAGAGGCTGCGGATCCCCAGTAGGTGAAGTGCGAAGGCTAGGTCTCTGGGTTTGGTGTGGCCAGAAGAGGAACGTTATCTCTCCGGTGTCGGACTAGTGGTGGCCGCCGGTACTGTTCTCCATCCGCCAGAGTCTGTGGAAGGGGTTTGCGTTTGCTTTCTGGGAGGAGCAGGATGGAGAGGACGGCCAGCAGGGCGAGAGACGAGTAAACCACATGGTGCAGAAAGTAGCCATAGTGGTTACGCAGATCCATAAGAGGAGAGCTGAGGCGACCCACGCAACCCAGCGCCATCACGGCTCCAACACCACTTCCTCTGTGGACACAACAAGAATTTCAGTTTTAATCATCTGAATTTTTATATGTTTAAAATTGCTCATATTTAATCTTATATCAGATTTCTGTAAGGGCAGCAAAACCTACAATTAATTGCAGGAACTCAATTCCTCTTCAGCCAAATTTTGTAACTGTGACAGCCCTGCACACACATTTTCTGGGACCCAAGCTCATGCTCTTGCTTGTGTATTTGTGTTAAGCTCCACAAGATGGGCTGTGAAAACTCTTTGTGTTTTTAATAAGTCAATAACAAGAGCGACTGCTGCAAAGTCCTCCCAGGAGAAAGCTCTCGGCGGACAGCCAGAATGACACAGCAGGCATGCGTACATTACATCCCTAAGCAGCTCTCTGGTGTGTGTGTGTGTTGTTTTTCTTCACCATTTCACTCTCCATTAATGCCCTGCATCCTGCTGTTTCAGGAGAGGTTTAAGAAAGAGTGTGTGTACCTGATGACGGTGGGCATGACTTCAGCCGTGAACAGAATGGAGAGAGAAGCAGCCGCTTGAGATGAGAACAAACCCATTATGGAGAACACCTTCATGGCTCCATCGCTCAGGTCTGCGCACAAACACACACACACACACACACACACACACACACAGCTAAATTTGTTTGGAAGCTCATTTCTGCCCCGGGATAAAGAATACAAGTAATTGTTATTGTTATTATTATTTATGTTGTTGGTTATTTTAGAATTCAGAAATAAGTTGAATACAACTGTGAGATATAAAGTAGAAAGTACAAATGCCAAAGAGTGAGTCTAAAGCAGGGATGGCCAACCAATTTTTATAAGGGGCCACAATAGACTCTAGGGTGGTTTAGAGCAGTGGTTCCCAACCTGGGGTCCGCAGAGTTCACAAGGGGGGCGCGGGAGAGGATAAGTGTTGAGGTAGAAAAAGGCATAAAAATGCTCCACTATTATATAGGGCTGTACAATTAATCGAAAATCCGATTTCAAAATATTATAAAAAAAAGCATTAATCGAGATAAATGATTATTGCATCATATACCGCCACCTTTCCAGTTGTTCACTGTTGGTCTTAAAAGCGCGAACGAGCGCGTGCTTATGTGTGTGTGCGGCACGCACACGCAGCCAGAAGCATGCGGCCGGTCAGCATTCGCTCCCATTCGCACACTGAGACGAGCAGAGGAGCGCAGACATCTAAAGTCATTAACGTGAGCGCTTTAATGGTCAAATAGGTGTCAAAACGCGGTGTTTAGTGATTATTTACATTCACCATCATTTGTGTAATAAACAAATGAGTTGAGGATCAAAAGACATGTGAAAGAGAAACTAAAGAGACAGTAGCCCCTTTCACACATACAGACCTTTCCGGAAAATTACCGGCAATTTTCCGGAAAGGTTGTATGTGTGAACAGGTCCTTTTTGAAAATACCGGTAAATTCGTTCTGGCTATTTTCCGGAAAGAGAAGTTGTAACATTACCGGCAATTTGCCGGAATGCTGCGCTGTGTGAACGCAGAAGGAAGATTTCCGGAATAAGCTCGTGCACGTCTAGAACGTGCTGACGTAAGACTTCTGCTTTAGCCAATCACAACAGTCAGACGCATTTACGTCCGCGCGGTTTGTGAGAATAAAAGCCTTTGAATATTTTTCCAGACACATTTAGCTGCAAGAAGTTAGTCAGATCACGTTTATATGTTCTTCTTAATGCCAACTGTGCAAATAATCATCGATAAGATGCTTATGATAAGCCGTTGTTTGTTTACCTTCAAGCTTTGCGTGTGCCCATGAAACAGCCTGTGAGCGTCAGCACACGCACAAATTATGAACATCTCGACATGCGAATATGATCCAGTGAAAGTTGTTTACAATATTGATCATCCACAGAGTTTGTAATTTAGTCAAATGTTTACAAATACAAGCGCAGCCGTTTAAAGCTCATTTGTGGTGAATGATGTCAGAATTTACCGGCATTTTGGAATGGATGTGTGAATGCTCTTTTCCGGAAAATTTCCGTAACGTCCTCGCCTGTGTGAACAGCGCTTTTTTCAATATACCGGTAAAGTCGTTCCGGAAATTTTCCGGATATTTACCGGTATCACTGTGTGAAAGGGGCTAGTGAGAAATATTCCTACTGCCTCCTGTTTTTATCATTTTTAATCAAACAACGAGAAAATCCCTCACTAGTCTTGACTGAAGGACTGCTGTGTTTTTCTTACAGTGAAGATGCTTAAAGCACAGTTTGTTTAATATTTTTGTTCTATTGTATTTATTTCTCTTTCATTTGCAGGGTGGAAAATAACTGTATGTAAACACTTGAAGTCAGAATTATTAGCCCTCCTGAATATTAGCAACCCTTTTCCTCCCAATTTCTGTTTCATGGAAAGAAGTTTTTTTTTAAACTTATTTCTGAACATAATAGTTTTAATATCTCATTTCTAATTACTGATTTCTTTTATCTTTGCTATGATGACAGGTCAAAATACAAGCATTCAGATTAAAGTGCAATTCAAAGGCTTAATTAGGGTAATTAGGCAAGTCATTGTATAACAGTAGTTTCTTCTGCAGACAATCAAAAATATTTATTGCTTAAGGGGGCTAATAATATTGACCTTAAATTGGTTTCAAAATATTTAAACCTGCTTTTATTCTAGCTAAAATAAAATAAATAAGCCTAGAAGAAAAAATATTATTAAGAAATACTGTTAAAATTCCTTGTTCTGTTAAACATAATTTGGAAAATATTTATAAAAAATAAAAATAAAAAAATTCTCAGGAGCGCTAATAATATTGACTTTAACTGATAATCGTTTTGAATAATCGTGATTACAATTATGACCAAAATAATCGTGATTATGATTTTTCACAAAATCGAGCAGCCCTACTATTATATATGTATTTTTAAGTACAAAAAAAAAAAAAAAATATATATATATATATATATATATATATATATATATATATATATATCAAAACACATGGTTAAAATTACAACATAATGGTAAAAATAATTAAAATGAATAACTTTAAATAATTATTTAAATTTAGCTCACTCACGCAATGTGCTTGTCAACGTGTAAAGGCAAAATCAAAACAAAATCGGCAGAGAAATCGTAAATGCAGTGATTCTTTAGAGGCGAAGAAAAAGATTAGACAGTATGACAAAGCCTACCTAAATTTTGGTTTTATTGATGGCCAAGACAAGTTAAAACTGATTAATTTATATTTTCTATACATATTATATATTAATATTACACAAACACACACATACAGTATATATATATATATATATATATATATATATATATATATATATATATATATATATATATATATATATATATATATATATTTAGTACATGGGTGTGTGTGCGTGTGTATTTAAATGGTGGGGGGGCTCCAATGTTTGTATATGTTCATGGGGGGGGCCTCTAAGAAAAAGGTTGGAAACCACTGGTTTAGAAAACCAGACCTATACAGTAGGGATGTAACGGTAATCAGAATTTCACAGTACGGTAATACCTCGGTATGAATGGCACGGTACAGTATTTATTGAATCATTTACAGGAAAAACAAAAGTAATGAAAAGACTCGTAAAAAGTTAGCAGTTTTTGTTTGCATTTTATTTTTCAGTTTGGCTTTTCGTTTTAATATTGGCAGTCTTGATGCAGAAATGCTGTGAAAATCAACGTGACGATGTGTTGTCGCAGTGGAAATAAACATTAAATAATTAAATTTTATTTTCAATTTTGGCAGATATTCTGCGAACCGTGTTTTATAAACTTGTTAATCTGCTTTTCATTTTAATTTGATTGAGCCATGTTCATGTGTTATGCAATAAGTCCATATGTTGATTACTGTGATGGGCCTAGATGTAACCAATTTCTAATAACTTTCTCATTTCTTTGATAGTCGCCATGATGACTACATAATATTTGACTAGATGCTACTAGTAATAGACTTTCTCCAGAAGAAAAATCTAAAAGGAAACACTGTGAAAATGGCCTTGCTCTGTTAAACAACACTTCTCAAATGTTTGAAGATGAATACAATCTTGAAAGGAGGGCGTCTAAATTTGTCTCACGAGGGAAGTAATTTACACATACACACTTACAGTCCATGAGTCCGAGCAGGATGAGCGAGGCCAGTCCTGTGAGGGTCATGGCCAGCAGCAGGATCCCCCTCCGGCCGCAGCGGTCCACTGTCGCCCACAGCAGCAGCCAGGCTCCGCCGCCAGCACACACCGACAGCAGGTACGTCCAGTAGAAGGTCGGAGGAGTTCCCCGAACATCATCACTGAAGGAGCTGTAGCAGTGACTGATGCCATGAGAGATGAACCTGAGCACAACACACACACACTTACGCATGCTTTTGCCTTTTCAAGTTGGCTTCAAATCAAAATGCACTCTTCTGTTTTCACATGTATAGAGTAGGGCTGGACAATAGATGGTTTCAGCATTGATATCCTATAGTGTAATCATGCGCAATAGGCACATCACAGCACGTGCAGTGTTGAATGTGGGTTATAATTGATCATTCATTCATTTTCTTTTCCGTTTCTTATAAATATGCATACAGTGAAGACGGCGCTCATATGAATATGTATGCCACAACAGTTTTAGTTTGTGTTAAGTTAATTTCAAAATGTAATTAGGCAGTTCTTTATATCATATTTTCATTTTATTGTTAAGACGAAGTGATGTGAATGAGGTTATACAGTACACTGTTTTTACCCGATGTGTCCTTTTCCATATCAAACTTGCAAAGTCTGAACTTCAGCAAAGGGTGCAAGACTGAACTGTGTGCACTTAACATTGAGAACAGGCCCAATCAGAGAGGTGAACGTCTGCGGCCACACCTCCGTTTTCAGATGTCTCCGTTTACGCCCATCCACACTGACACAGGGCTGCAGCGTTTTAAAATGAAAACGGCCTCTTCAGCATTTCCAAAAATCTGTTTTTTTAGGGCTCAAAAAACTCTGAAAACGCTCAAAACGTGTGCGCTTTAAAACTAAGATGTGTTAGTGTAAACAGGGCCTTAATCTGTTTCTAAATGAATCATTTGATTCCAACCCAAGCTCATTCTGGAAACGTAGCCCCGCGGACGTTTCTGGAGACCGCGATTTACGTGGCCGGAGGTACGTACGGCCGCGTTTAGTTTTTCTCGAGCGAACGAGAAAAACCTCTTCGCGCTCACCGGCCGACGGCTCATCTCCGAGTAGAGGGCTTTCCCGCTGCTACCAGTTTGTCAGCTTAGCTCGCAGCGTTACGTCGGCAGAGCAGAGGCCCAGAGGAGGAGGAGCCGGCCGCGGGGACGACTGGGATCGGGTCCGGGGAACAGCGGTTCCAGAAATCAGATAAGATGAAAAACAAAATCCGAAAAATAAGGGCGAGAACGCGGCGGGATCCGAAAACTTGGTCGAAATCAAAGATGCGGGCTTCTGCTTTTTTTTTCTGGACGGCAGACGTTTTTGCAAAACGTCGCTTGGGTTTAGGGAAGGAGGAAGAGGAGGGCGGCTGGGTCGGCAGATCGTTCAGCCAGCCAGTCGGATGGACGGTCGCTCCACAGTGGCCTCCGATGGTTTTCGCGTGAGAACAGAACAGGCGCAAATGGCGCACGCTCCCGAGAGGCACTCGAGACGCGAAAAAGCGCGCACAGCAGCCTCTCGCAGATCCGCAAAAACAAAAACCGTTTGAATACGTACCTCACGGGATACGTGAATACGTATGAATACATACCTTTCACAATGAGCCCAGGTTGTTTGATTCAGTGATCCATTCATAAAAACGACCTTGCTTAGTTTCTATGTGAATCTGCCATTTTGAATAAATGATTACAACCCAGGCTCATTCTGAAAACATAGTCCCATCGACTAACCCACTCTCCTCCTTCCCTAAACCCAACCAATTTTATCGATTGACCTGCCCACCCACTTACTCCCCTATTCCCAACCAACAATTTATAAGAGCCATCCAGAAAAAGAAAAGCCCTCGTCTGATTTTTTACCAAGTTTTCGGATTTTACCACGTTCTCACCCTGTTATTCACTTATTTTTTGGATTCTGTTTTTGTCTTAACCTGATTTCTGGAATTGCTCTTCCCTGGACTCGAACCCGGTTGTCGTGGTGGTCAACTCCTCTCTGCGTCTCAAGTCCACCAAGGTATGTGAAGAGCTAACTGGACAAACTGGTTGCAGTGGGAAACCCCTCCACACGGAGGTAGACGGTCAGCCGGTAAGCGAGAAAAGGAACGGTGTCATACCACCCTGTAGCGTTCACCTAAAAAATGAAATGCAGCCATACGTACCTCTGGCTACATAATTCACGGTATCCAGAAATGTCCATGGGACTACGTTTCCAGAATGAGCCTGTGTTGCATGATTCAGTGAATCACTCCTTAGGACAGTGACTTGTGTACCTACTGATGATTTTAGTGTCATATTTAGATCATGAATATTATATTTATAAAATGCTTTCTACTATACATTATGCTTTTATATAAACGTTTGGTTTTATTATGCAGTTTTAAATAAGCATTAAACATTCTTTTAATATAGTAGTCCAAAAGTCAGTATGTATGAAAATAGTTATTAATATATTCATTATATTTGCTTCCTTATTGTTATAATTAAACAGTTAAACTATTTTTGATACAGCTCAAATGCTGTTGGATAGTTTGCTGCTAATAAAATGCTGTCAGAATCTTTGTGCGACAGTCTTAAAGACACAGAAAGCAGCTTGACGAACAAGTGTTGATGTGCTCTGACCTGGGAATCTAGGATCATACGATGGTTTTCGTGTCATATTGAATTATCAATGTCAGGCCGAGATCAGCACAAAACTCTCTTAACTACTTGTCAAAAATATTTTTAAATATGACCCAGTTCAACTTCTTTTTACTCAGTGACATGATTGATGATGGCTTTAGAGCATTTGCTGAGTCAAGTGAATCACTCACGATGTAAATCCCAGCACGCAGAGGTTCTTCCAGATGTTTCTGCTGTGCAGCAGCTCCGGGAAGGACAGATGAGGACGTGTAGGAGACGAGGACGATTCACTGTCCAGCTCTGCGGCACATACAGGAACACACTGATTAAAGGGACAGCTCACCCAAAAACAACATTCACTCACCACTTACTCTAAACATATGAGCAACACCAGCGTTATGAATGTGACAATTTAGTAAAAACTCAAAACATACCTTCACAGAGACAGCATGTTCACATTAGATTAAATCATCTGTTTATATTTTACAAAACAACTCAATGGGATCAAGAAAAATCAATCTGTAAACATGTTTTATATTGTAAATGAAGGAAATAAACATGCGTTATGGATGTGACCAAAAAAATCTGCAAGTTTACAGAACATAACATACTTTGTAGAAATCCTCTGAATTAAACTGCACAGCCTCAAAAAAAATGATGCTAATCAACAGGATAAGAGTGACTGTATAGAACAAAATGACTGATTTTAATTGACATTTCCTGCATTTATGAGGGCAAATGCTTCGTTATGGATGTGATAGATGTAAAACTGCCACTTGTGTGACTTTGTTAATGTTTTCAAACTATTATATTTGATTTACCAGAGACATTTTTGCATATTTTTACAGTACTGTCAAGCACAGGCTTACACAAACAACTTTTCTTTCACTATTTTGGTGAAAACTTGACTTTTTTTCATGACCAGGTTGACATTTGCATTGCATTAAATTGCTCTGATTTTATTTATTTTTTTGTTGAACACAAAACAAGCTATTCTGAAACATGTTGGGGGAAAAAGATGCAAATTGCAATTGAAAATTAAATTAATGTGCATAAATGGAATATGGCTTAGAGTTGGGCGATGTCGACCAATTTAGCATCATATGATGTCTAATGTGAAACATCCGGGGTCGCCACAGCGGAATGAATCGCCAACTTATTAATTAATTAATTAATAATGAATGAATTATTTGTAGCCTACTGTTTTAACTAGCTGACCTGCATGCTCTTTGTTTTACCCATGACCAAATCATAAATAAATAAAGATAAGTTACACACAGATGACCACCTGTCAATCACTTTTTCCTCAGGACTCTGGCATGAATAGGTTATATGCTGAGCTAGTGTTCTTCCCAGGCTGATAAACTTCCGGTGACTTTTTATTGTCAGTTTTTGTCTATGGTTCCTTTTACAGCATTGATGTGGGAATGTAGTTAAAATACAATCAGTTAAACAGACTTTGCCATTCATTTAGTTGCTCAAGCGCAAAACGAGACAAAGCCATGTACTCGCACGCGCCCATCAGAATCAGCAGGCTAGCGCAGAAGCTCCATTGAATATACTGGGGTAAAGTAAATGCTCATATTATAAAGACATGGCGGGGGAAATGTAATGTAATGCAGTGCTTCTTGTACAATCTGAGACCCACTTTATATCAGATATCACTCAGCCAGTGGAGATCGCTGATTTGTAAAGAAAACAGACCTTAAACGTGCCAGTTTTGCATTGACAAAAGTTCATCGGACGCGTTTAACCCAGGTTTACTGGCAAATGGAACGTCCTGTTAGCATGCTTCTGCATATACCCTATAGGCAGAGTGATCTGTGTTGTTATAATGACGTCAACAAACTTGGTTGGTAAAAAGGTGCAACAGAAACCAACCGACAGCGTCTGAGATTTTCACTAAAATGACTAAGTACAAGCGTGAAGCGAAAGACCGAAGCAGTGTTTTGACGCTGGGACATGCTACCTGATAGATTCAAACAACAGAAGAGTCGTTCGAGACGAGATTAATTAAATATCACCTTTAACAACTATAGTGAGACGCCATCCAGCGGGACACCCTTGACGAACTGTCTGACGTGCACTGCTCTGTGGGCTGACTGCTGGAGCTCAGACATCACGTGAATTTTTAAAGCTAAGATGTATCAGTGTAAACGGGGTCTGAGTGTGTGGGTTTTTCCCGAGCGGGTTGCTGCTGCGACAGGGACAGAGCAGAGGATCGTGATGCCGGCTCAGCATCGTGATGGCTATCAGCGATGGACGATGGCACTGTCTATCAACCCAACCCTACTATGGCTTAAATCATTTATGAAATAAAACATTTCTCTTTAAATAAAACCGTCGCTGCTTTGTCTATTAATGCGTCCCATCACACTCCAGGCTCAACAGAAAAGCAGATGCCATTGCAATGTATACATTAGCTCAGTGTTTGGTTGCAGCCGAAAGGGCATCCGCTATGTAAAACATATGCTGGACAAGTTGGTGGTTCATTCTGCTGTGGCGATCCCTGATAAATAAAGAGACTAAGCTGAAGGAAAATGAATGAATGAAATGAGAATAGACATGAAAACCAAATGATGGAAGCAGCCACTGACATCCATAGCAGGAGCAAAAACTATTATGGAAGGTCAATGGCTGTTTTTTTTTTTTTTCCATAATTCCTGAGGATATTTTCCCTCGTGTTCATCAGAAGTGAAAGATGAGCAAAGGATGGCAGAATTTTCACTTTTGAGTGAACGTCCAAAAGAGCCATCCTCCTAAAATGAAACATCCTCCTGAAGTGTTAGAGCACTGACCGGTGAAGCTGTCGTCGTC